AGTCCTTTTTTTTTTTTTTTTTTTTTTTTTAAGGTTTTTGTCTTAGGACATGTGTGCCCAGAAACGGGGTGGGGGGGTGGGAGGGGGGGCAAGGAGAGGGACGGTGAGAAATCACCCCTCTCCTGCAATCCCTTCTCCATTCTCCTCGTAGATTTTGGCCATGCACATGCCTAGTGTGATGTTCAAGGCACCAGGTCTGGGACTCAGACTATGATAGTTCATGTGGGAATTCAGCCACCTTCACCACCACCCCAGCTGCTGGCTTCATAGGCACTATTTCTAAGTGGTTTAATTTGTCTTCTACATACTCCCTGTTGCTTATTTTAATAAAAGCCTGTTTTCCCACGTTTCACTTTGCAGATGAATAAGTTGAGGCTTCTGCTTGCTGGTGGTTATGTAATTGTGATTCCATACCACGGCTATCCGCATTTCTTTGTCAGTAGCTTATCTTCGTGTCTTCAGAATGTATTCTATGCTTTCCATGCTACAGTTGTGTTTTGATTTTGTAAGGAGGGTTCTGATGAAGTGGGTTGCAGAAAAACACTTTTGTAAGTATAGGTATTTAACAAAAGTAAGGCAATGTAAAAGATAGGATTTACTTTGTCCATCACCCCTCTTCCTAATTTTGTGACTTGAGAGGTTAGGTCCACATCTTAAGTGTCTAATTTACAAAAGCAGTTTGTTCTTTTCTTTTTTTGGTGGAGGAGATTCTATCCCCCCCATGGAGTAAGTACAAGAAACATGAATCCTTTTTATTTGGACCAGATGTTCTTTAAGGGTTGTTGCTCTCTGTTCCATGGTAAGATGTTTAGTCTTCCAACTATTTATGACTATAATATTTCTCACTTTGCTGTGTACTCTGTTATAAACTTTCTCATTTGCATTTTGGGGCAATATAAATGCTTATTTAATGAGAATTTTAGACTAGAGGCAGAATGAGAGAAGCAGAGAAAAGTTGTTGATTGCATGTTTAAGAGGCCAGGACTGTCGTGTTTTAAATGGTGAGACTTCATTTTGTGTTTTTTAAAGTTCTGCCTTGGCTTTTCTTTCCCTTTGGTCTACTTTCTATTTATGCTGTGGGGTGGTGGGGCGTGTGAGTAAGAGGCTTCATTCAGTTCTAACTCATGCTGTGTAATTCATAGACGGTGAACACGAGTGGAAGAGGAAGCATCACTTTGCTCTGTATGTATATACACAGGCGTTTGTAAAATAAGCCTTTTCTCATCTTTAAGTAAATTCGTATGGAATAGAATTTCATATTTTAGGATGGGCGGATCCGAAGTAATTAGCTTACCATACCATTATGGAGAATGAATGGACTTCCCTTCTCTGGTGGTTTACTTGGGGCACAGGGCATTTGTACTAACTGCATGTTGTGGATAAGGGACGATGACATGGTTAGGGGCTTATGTCATATAGCCTTAAGTTGCCTCAACTGTTTCAAGTCGGCGTCCAAACACCTTGTGGCAAGTTTGTTGCTATTGTACTTGGTCTAAAGTAAATGAGGTAGTGAATACTAGCACCTTACAGGTATCCTTCAGCCAGGGTGCACCTGAACAAACCTCAGATGTGGTGATGCGGCTTGTTGGGTTTTCTAGCCTAGATAGTTTAAAATTACCATTGTATTAGGGACCATATCTACTAGGTTGTCTTGTCCAGTTTTGCCCTCTCTTCCGCATTCTGTCCTCAGTCTCTGTTCTGTAAGTAGGAAGGTGTTTAACTTGCAAGAAACTGAATTATGTTATTTCACTTTGGGTAAAGGTTGTAAGAGATTGTAAAGTTTGTACAAAGAGAATGTAAGCATCGTCAGGAAAGGAACGGTTTATGGTAAAGCATGGTGGATCCTTGTTTGTAAGTTCTTTTAGTATATTTCTTTTTTTCTTTTTTTTTTTTTTAAAAACAAAAAGTTTATTATGGAAATGTAAATGACCTGATCTTTATTTACATCATAGTGAAAACGGGCCTGTTGACAAGGGGACATGGGTTTTTCTGTTGAACAGCATTATTTATACTCGTTCCAAGGCGTCTAACATGATGGTACTATTTCCTCGTATTACCACCATTCTAGTATTGTTCTGTTGCCCACTAGTTGCCATCTCCACACATTCATCTATCACAGGATTCATAAATGGATCAAATCCCCGCAATATTCCTTGGATATGTCTGCCACCATTTAATTTCAATGACAACTTCTTGTCCATCAATTTTTTCAATTCTGGAGGGTGAGCTTTGCTCATGGTACCAACTCGGTGGGCTCAGAGATGCCTTTTGTTCTTTTATTATATTTCTGATAGTTATATATTCCAATTGTCTTATATCAGTTTAATTGTTAGGTTGTTGGACGTTTACGCTTTGTGATTGTAAGCCTGCTACAGACATTTTGCATACAATTCAGAATCTGAATTCTAAATTTTTATTTTTAGGAAGGATCGAGATCGTGACCGGGATCGTGAAGATCGGTCTAAAGATCGAGACCGAGAACGTGATAGAGGAGATAGAGAGCGAGAGAGGGAGAAAGAAAAGGAGAAGGAATTGCGAGCTTCAACTAATGCCATGCTCATCAGTGCTGGATTACCACCTTTAAAGGCTTCGCATTCAGCCCACTCTACCCACTCAGCACACTCAGCACATTCAGCACACTCTGCTCATTCAGCACACACTGGGCATGCAGGACACACGTCACTGCCACAGTGCATCAACCCATTCACCAACTTACCCCATACTCCTCGATACTATGATATTCTAAAGAAGCGACTTCAGCTCCCTGTTTGGGAATATAAGGATAGATTTACAGATATTCTGGTTAGGCATCAGTCCTTTGTCCTGGTCGGTGAGACTGGATCTGGTAAAACAACACAGGTGAGTTGTGTACCAGGGTATGCATTTTATTAATGTTTAAGTTTACCAATTGTTGTTTATTTGATCCTTGTGGTCATTCCTGTTGTCTTTGTAGGGGTGATCCTTGTGGACACTCCTATTATTTGTAGGATACCTCGAAGAATAGTTGTTTTGATGCTTAGCATTTTCTGGTGACTTCGAGAGTGGTAGATAGTGGTGCCATTTATTTTTCAATTTTGTTGTCATTTATTTCTGTCAAAAAATGGAAGTATCAGAGGCATGTAGTGAGGTTTGCACCTGTGTCCTCCATCTCTCTAGTTACATCTTACCCCATATACAAATAGAACTGAACATTGTTACTAGTGTGTCTCTCATTAGTAAAAAATCTTTCCTGTGATTCTGTCCAGAGTCACTTAACAGGGATAGTTTATTATGTGCAATATAATAATGGATTTGGGGGGGGGATTTTTGCTCTTAGATACATATGCCCGCCAGAGAGACAGAAAGCAAAAAATCACCTCAGCATTCAGCATGCATATTACTGTGTCCTTACAAGAAAGTGAAGCTAGTTCAGCCACAGGGATAGACAGCATATGAGCAAGGGTACAAGTTTAGAGAAGGGAAAGCGCTGTGTGCCTTGGCTCGAATGTGGGGTGTGTGTGCAGGGAGGTGGGGCAGGTGAGACAGGCTAGGATGGGCCTTAGTGTGTCTTACTTAGCTTAGGAACACACAAGATCTTTTAACTGGAGGGGAGCAACAAAGATTTTTACAGAAATGTCCTGTCTGGTGTATACTTGATGACAGACCATGTCATAACATCGTTGTAAAGGCTATGGCAATGGAGAATGAAAGGTGGGTTGGAGTCAGGATGTGAACTGTTGGTGAACAAGGGAGGAATTACTGATAAAAGAATTGGCGGGAACTTGAGAAATTGTTTTGCTTTTTGAGCTTGTTGCATTTGGGATTCCAGTAACACTTCACTCTTCTATTAGAGTACCAAAGAGTGCAGTACTAGGAGTTAGATTTCTGCTAGTTTATGAGTGAAAACAAAGTTGGATTAAAAGGCACAGCATGTGCAAGAAGGGTATAATTCCTGCTTACCTGCATTTTGCAACTCATATCGGAAAATAGAAGTTACACTTTCTTAGAATGTTTTTAGAAAGTAATTTTTAGTTAAAGAATGTGTTGTAATTTGGATTTATTTTTAATTGCCTACTCAGGAGTACAGTTATGCCTTATCAGTGTTATAAATGACCTTTCTTTGGCCAGAGCACTCATGTTATTTTAGTAAAAAAAATTCTCTTCATCATAATTGTAATTTTTGTTTTAAGTTATTGCAATGAAGTAAGTTGCTTTATTTTAAGTACACTTGAAATACAGGTTGAGTGGAATGAATTTAAATGTGAAATTATTTCATAGATTCCACAGTGGTGTGTGGAGTATATGAGATCATTACCAGGACCAAAAAGAGGAGTCGCCTGTACCCAGCCCAGGAGAGTGGCTGCAATGAGTGTGGCACAGAGAGTTGCTGACGAGATGGATGTGATGTTGGGCCAGGAAGTCGGTTACTCCATTCGATTTGAAGACTGCAGTAGTGCAAAAACCATTCTTAAGTAAGTACTGTACCTTTTACTGTGGATGCTTTGCTTTTTCTGCTTGTAGTTTCTGTAACTATATAGGGAACTTTGCTCCTAGAGCTTGTTCTTCCTTAGACTGACCACATGACTCTTCAATATGGATACTATTTCTTGGCAATGGTAAATGTATTTTTTAGTAGAAATTGAAATTCAAGGGTCTGGTTTTTGTTACTTGGTGCTGTATCTTAGATGAAATGTTACTGGTTTGTAAAAATGCAGTTTTAGTAGATGCACTCTGATATTATTTAAATACAACAGAAAAGTTAAGTGATACATTAGTAAAAGACAGCTAATTTTGGAAAGAATGATGTGTGGGGTAGGATTTGATTTATTTGCGGGAGAGGAGACTTTTAATGTTAATTATGCAGCTGTTGACCATGCATACATTATGAGCTATAAAGAGGACTCCTTTGTTCTGGAATACATTCTTGGAGCCTCCTCAAAGGTCCTGTTTCCTCTTTATAGCTGTGTACCATGTGACTACCAAGTCCAGCTTTTTCCTAGTGTTTTAACTTTGTTAATTTTTTATCTTCATACTCTTATATTCTGCCTAAGTAGTCTAATGTTACCTGATGATCATTCTCTCAAAAGTTATTTCCCTCTTGTTGCTTGTACTTATTTTGTATTTTACGTGACATTTAATCCATCTTAGAGAGTGACTTCCATTTCATAATGTAGCTTTCCTTGTGGTTATTTTTAAAAGATATTTTGGAACAAAACGTGCACAGTGACATGAGTCTTTGTTGGCAAGTGTATATGCAGTGTTAGGGGATAAATGAAGTAAAAGTCTTATCATTAAGCTTTGTTAAAATCCATGTATTTTTATGGAAACTTTCAAGTATATGCAGTAATAGAAAAGCGTAATGAATTTCGTGTGTTAATAACCCACTTCAGCCATGTTGGTCTTGTTTCAGCTTAGACTTTAGTCTGTTTCATATTGCTGTTATGTAGAGATTATTTATTCCATTAGTTGGGTGGTAGTGACCAACAGGGTGTTCATGTTGCGATCCATTTCCAGTGTCAGCCAGACCAGCCCATGGGCATGCTTGGTGCCCAGGAGGTCCTGGGTCATGAAGCCATGACCTTTCTGTGTGGGTTCAGATGCCATACTATTTCACAGACATCATGTAATTTTACACATAAGTGTTTCAGTATGTATCTCTCAGCTAAAGTTTCTTAAAATATAACCATATCACAATTTTAAAAAATTTCCTGGGGGAGTAGAGGTTCTGCAGTCATAATAATGCTTTGCAAGACTGACCCACACTGTAAAGTTCCAGGCTCATAGCTGTAGACTTCCCTGAACATGCTGGGCATGCCTGTACCCATAATCCAGGGCTGGCTGCAACTGGGGGTGGATCATGGCATCAAGACCCTGTTGGGGGTGTTGTCTCTCCATTTCTCTCTCTCACTCATGGAAGAGAGAAATACACAAAAAAATGGGGCTAGATGGTGGCACAGTGGCAAAATGTGATGCTCTGTGAGGCAAACCTAAGTGGGAAGATTGCCATACGCAGAGACCTGAGTACAGCCTGGACTGTGAGTGGGGGTTAGGGAGCAGCCCATAGCCTGGTGGTTAAGAGAGCTGAATCCTACATGGCCTACTGCACAGTTTGAGTCCTGGACCCAGTGGTTTGAAAAATATTCCTGTGGGTACCAGCAGGTGGCGTGGTGATTAAGGCAGTTAACTCTCCCACATGCATGACCACGGTTTCAGTCCCAGTGCCAGGGGCTTCAAAATTACTCTGGATGAGGACCAGCAGGTAGTCTAGTGGTTGGTGCATTGGAACCCCACATGATAGACCACAGTTCAAGTCCCATGGGGGAATACTTTCCCCCTTTCTTTTTTCTTTATCCCTCTGGTTAGTGTATGTGCTTACTGACAATTTTAAAAAAAAGGTAGAGTGTGCACTCCCGTGTCTTGCTCATGTAAGTAGTGAGCTTTTAAAAACAAAATTCAAACTTTTTTTTTTTAAAGAGGTCTTTGCCTTAGAGCGTGTACACCATGTCACAATCCGTTTTCCTCGCAGGATCTTGGATACTTAACACACCTGTTCCCAGCTTGAGCTTCAAGCCACTGAATCCAGGACTTGAACTGTGATTGGCCTTGTGGGAGTTCAGCAGTGCAGCACCATCTGCTGGTCCCTAAGAGAAAGTCTTTAACCAAAATAGCTGGTCCTTCTATTAGAACTTGATACTCGGTATCATATTGAATAACAATTGAACATTTAAATACTTAAACCAGCCTGTCTTGATGACTTGATAGGGTAGTATTTTTGCTTAAACCTCTGTCTTCATTGACTATATCCTTTTAGTTTAGTGATAGCACATTTATCGATCGCTTTTAGTTTCTTTTATTAAAAATCATATAAAATTATAACTCATTTTATACTACTTTAAAATGTAAATAATGCTAAGGATTAGAGGATAATAAAGGGCAGATTTTACTCATCTTAGGAGGAACATCATTCCGACATTCAATTCACTGTACGTTGAATTTTTTTTCATGAGCCGTAATAGAGAACAGAATTTGGAAATTGAGATGTGAGAAAGTTATATGCAATATTAAGGATGTGTGTGTAGTAGAAAGTGGAGGGACCAGTGGGTGCCGTGATGGTTAAGTTTCTGGATTCTGGCATGATTCACTGGTTCAAGGCGTGCACTCGGTGACTTGAAAATCATGCCCAGTGTACACGCGTGCATACCCAACATCCCAAAAGTAGAAGGGATTATGGCATGGCTTTGGAGGGTGATTCACATCATTCCTCTCTGTTGCTGGCCAGCACATGTGCCCTATGGCCAAAACCTAAAAAAAAAAAAAAAAAAAAAAGATAAAGATTGTATGTTTGTGGAAGATTTTGGTTCAGTTTATCGGAAGTGACAGCATCTTGGCACTGTGATATTTTCTTGTGGAGAAAGACCCAGAAACTAAACTTGACCAAAAAAGTTATTCTGGGGACTAGCTGATGTCATAATGGTTACGTTGCTGAACTCTCATATAGTCAACTGTGGTTTGAGTCCAGGGCCCAGTGGCTTAGAACTCATACTGGGCACATGTGCCCAAAATCCCAAGAGGAGAATGGAGAAGGGATTGCAGCTGATCATCCCCCCCCCCACGGGGGTGGGGTGATTTCTCACTTTCTGTCTTTGGTGAGCACATGCACCCTACAGCAAAAATCTCTGGGGCCAGCAGGTGGCATGGTGTTTAAGGCAACAGGATCCCACATGGCCCACTATGGGTTTAAGTCCTGAACCCAGTGGGTGTGCATTTCCAGAATCCCAAGAGGAGAACCAAGGAGAAGAGATTATTCTGTGCCCATTACCCCTGGGGGATAAGGGTGATTTCTCAATTTCTCTCCTCTGTCTTTGGCAAGCGCACACACCCTTACAACAAAAACTAAAAGTAGTTATTCTGGGCCAGTGTAAGCTTATTAGGGTTTTTTCCAAAACTTACTGAAGAGCCAAGAGCTAACCTAGTGTTCAGTGAAATTAGTAAAAGGTTAGAGTGGGTTATTAGTATAAGTTCCTTAAAAGGAGAGGGAAAAATTTCAAGTAGGAAGAGCGCCAGTGGTAGTTTTAAGGAACGTGAATGCTTTAAGTGAAGCTTAGATGTATTTTGTGTAGTCACTTACCAACTTCTGTTGAGAACCCAGCTGTTTAAACAGTAAAGCCTAACTTACCAAAGGTTAGTTACATTTTGGATCATCAGAAAAGTCATGACCTATTTTTTTTTTTCTATGTTTTTCTGTGCAAAAAACGAGTCATATTTCTGACATCTCAGTAGTGAGTGCGGAAAGGAGTGAAGCCGTCAGACAACCACCAGTACCTCTCTCTAGCTGTTCTTGGTTAGAGACGTAAGGTGTTGTGTGACCAGGGGACCTTGCATCTTCACTGTAGAAAGAATGTATAGGAGAGTGACTTTCGAAGACTCTGCTTGAGGAACGTGGAATTTAGCCATAACTAGACAACACTTAAAATAGTGAGTTGGTTCAGCATCCCAAATCAGAAAATGTGAAGTGCTTCATAATCTGTAACTTTGCTGAGGTGAACCCCATAAGTGGAAGATAGTATACCTGACCTCATCATCCATGCCTAGTGAGGCTTTTTCTTTTTTAAGTTTACACATTTATTTTAAAGAATTATTTATTTAATTTTATTTATTATTATCATTATTATTTAAATTTTTATATAAAGCATGCAAGCTTACCAGAGAAAAAGAAAGTGAAAAAGCAGGTTGTCAGGTCCGGGACTCAAATTACTACGGTTGGCCACGTGGGAGTCCAATGCCTTAACTACCATGCCACCTGCTTGGCCCTCTGGTGGATCTTTTATTTTTTTTAATAGAATTTTTCTTTTTTTTTCCTTTTCTTAATTTCATCTTTTTATACATTCAGTTACCTTTTTTAGCTTACAAAGTGAATATTTCAATATGTGAACATTTCTCCCTAGTCCAGTTGATTAAACTATAAAACATCTTCAACAGGTCTTTTATTTTTAATTAATGTATAAAGTTACCTTTGCTCCCTGTGTATATTGTATATGTGAAACATAAATTTTGTGACTTGAATCTCGTCCTCAAGATACCTCTGAACACTCCAGAGTTAAAAAAAAAATTCCAAAATCTGAAACACTTTTCTAAGCATTACTGGTAAGGAGTATTCAAGCTGACTTTAAATAATCTCTGCACAGATTAAGGGTACAGAAATAAGGTTCTTTAGCCTTTGGGATACATATGTGTCACTTCTTGGTTCTAGATTGAGACTGTTGATGTCAGAGTAGTAGTACAGTTAGTGTGTGCTGTTAGTCTAGTCTTACGTACTGTTAATCTAGCCTGGCTCTCCAAATTAGCTATGTAGTCCCAGTGGACAAGTCCGTTCACAAAGCTACCCGTGCTAAATGTTTGTTATTGGCTGGTCAGGAAAGTCATGACGTGGTTTTCTATGCAAAAACTTAAGACTTTCTGATAACCCAGTGTA